GGACTGACACCTTCCACAGAGGGGTAACTTTTGGATTTGTAGCTTTGCAACTAAATGGGAGGGGGAATTGGGGTGTTTCAACAAGAGGCCTTTGACTCTAGCAGCTTGCTGGCCTTTTGGCCTCGCAGTAGGCTTTGTTCAGGCTTTCCCTGGTAAGCAGTCTGGCAGTTCTGGGTTGCTTCTTTTGGAGTTAATTTTTTGGGGACATTAGTTGAATGTAGTTGCTTTCATGTTTGATTGTTTTACGTGAATGGTGCTTGCAATGTTCAGTTCATCCTGAGATTTGGAATCCGTATATCATAAAATTAAAACCATCGTACAATATCTGGAAGTGTTAGTTTCAAAAAATTTGGCTTGGGTATTTTGGATCATCTTACTCATGTGTTTTATTGCACATTGACTGAAAGGAGAACAGAATTCATAAAGAACATCTTTGCAAGCAGTTTTTAAAATTGAGATCAGAACCCTTTTTAAAGCATGAAAAATCATTTTTTGATCAAAAAATTTTTAACCAATATGGCCTGCAAAAACCATTAATGTAGATGGTAGATAAAGTTAGCTGAAAGGAAGTTGACAGTAGGGCTAATCGTGTAACTAAACTAACCAGTGATAGACTTGTACCTTTTACTCGCTACTTCCTCTGCTCAATTTCCTGTGTTGGTTCAGGGAAAAAGTTGCCTCTTCTTCTACCAGGGTAATCCCAAATGGGATGGATGGGGCATTAGACCCCTTGTCGCTGTCCAAAAGAGGAACTGGGAGGTGCCAAATGTCATTTGTCTGAAAGTTGTCAGTGTTAATTTGTCTCTTGCAATCAGTGAAGTTGGAGAAAATACTTCTGATTTTCTGGGAAGTGTCTAAGCAAAAAATTTTGGATGTTACATTTTAAGAAAGAATAGTGAACTTGATTTGCATATGCACTCATTTTCATGCAATTTCTGTTTCCTCTATGCAAATGTGGCCATTTTTAGAGCAACTCATGCAGATGTCTGCTGGATCCTCTGTGGAAGTTAAAATTGTTCAAACTAGTAGCAGTTCCTTAAATATAGCATTAACTCCTTAAAGTGAGAACATAAACAGTGTGGTGAGCTTTTTCAGTAGCATTTTAAAGCTTTCAATAGGATAGCATTCCGTGTGGAGCTTGTTTTTTATACTATATTAGTTCTATTTATAATTTTTAACAGTTTACGAACAACACTGTTTTGGTCTTAATTATATAAAGGAAAGAATAAAACACTTGATTTCTGTGGATGTTTGTTTTCTGCAAAATAAAGTACAAAAATGGACTCAAAATATGCTGTCGTTTTATCACTAGAATGAAACACTTTGATTTTTACTTTTTTTTTTTCTAATATAGCAATAGGCTGGCATAATGTTCATACAGTTGCAATATGGAGCCCCCACTTTCAGACCATGCACCAAGAGCAGTGGCAGAACCATAGCATTGAGGAAGAGAGGGGAGAGCGTGGGAACGTTCTTTGCTTCACTTTTTCAGGAAAAGATGCAAAAAGAAGAATGTTTATTTTATATGTAGCATGTTGGAGATCTCATTATAGAAAGTGTAAGACATGTAGCATTGCTGACATGCCTAGTGTTGAGAACTACAGCTTTCCTCTCTCTAAATAAATATTTCTGTAGATGCTGAAGATAAAAGCTGTCCTCTAAGCTTTTGTGTTGATTTTAGCACAAGGGAATATTGAAGAATTGAGTAAGTACCTGCAGGTTTGACTATGAAATTGTCTAGAAATAAAACACAATGATTTATCGTGTTTGTTTATAGCTGAAGAAAATATGAAACCACCTTTTTTCTATTTGTTGCATTTGTGTTCTTTTAGGATGTGACAGTTTTATGTATTGGCTAAGTATCAGACTGTTCCAGGTGATCAGTAGCTTAGTTTGATCGTGGAAGGCTCAGTGTGTAATCAGAACCACCAAATTGTAGTGCATCTCTAATATGCTTGACTAATTCGGTACTGTATAGCTTGAAATGTCCTTCTTTTTCTCCTTTTGGTGCTAATTAACACTTAGATGATTCATGTTCATTTCTTAAGTTATTCTGGAATGTGAAATTAATGTCTACTTAGGGAAAATAATAACAAATTTACTTATACGATGCATATAAATTAACTGACTCTTTTGTTCCGTCTACATTTGTATCAATCAAGAAAACTAATTTAATCATGCTTTCCACTGTAAGGCACCATAGCTTGTAAAGCAAGGAGGGAAAATTATTTCCAGCTATGCATATGATATCAAGACCTAGAAAAGTCTGAGTTTGATGGGTTTATTGCACTTGATGTCTTCAATGTGAATATTGAAAGAAATATAAAGTAGTTGGGAAAGAAAGTGATCAGCTTAGAGTGCTTTAATAAGGGATGCTGAAATACATATGGGAGTTTCTGCTGTGTTTTATCTGTTTATCATGTTTTAAAAAGTGAGAATACAAAAGAATATTTGCTCTAGATCTCAAAAGTAGAACCATCTGCAGCAACGACTTCCTGAAAAACTGGTGTGGCTGTTGTTGTAGTGGGTGTGAGACTATCTGGCTCTGTATGTTGTTTTGTCCTGCTATGTCTTGCCTGCTTCTTTATCTGTGGGATTTTTGTATCATACATGTGTCAAAGCACATTATGTGAATGAATTGATATCTTGTTTCTTCAGACATATGGAAATAAGAAATTTTGACTGAAGATAAAATCTTTATTCCCCGACCGTTTTGACAATATTAATACAGGTTTCATATCTAAAATACAATTGCTAAAGGAACATTTTGTTGTTGAATTAAAGGGCTCCTTCCTGTTATATCTGGATTATTCCAAGTGCTCAGGGAAAAAACCCTATTATGGATTACTGTTTTATATTAGCCTTGTATGTTGCAATTGCTGCAGTAAAGAAAAGAGTGTCCTCATTTGACCAAATCAAGTTACGCTTATGTGTAGGAGAGAGAGAGACAGTAGCCTAAAGCGTGACTAATAGCTAGAACTAGATACAATTTGTTCAATTTGTTTATTTTTCTACATCATACTTTCCTTCTGATAATGTTCTGACATTGTTAATCGATGTCTTTTGCAGTCTTAAGAAATAAAACATTTTTCTTTCAAAGTGAGGAACACTGTAGAAAGCTACCTGTTCAGGACACTGGTATGGGGTTTCCCACCCAAACCTAGCTGATGGGATAAGAGGTAATTAGGTCAATGCAGTTCTGAAGAAAGGCACATAAGAAAGGAAGATGAATGAGGTGGGGTTAATTAACAAGCTATAAATTCATAGTGCATAAAAAAAAAATCTTGTCACACACACGTGTATAAATATACATGTGTATGTTGATATAAAATGTGTATATAAAGGTATGTAAATGAGCTGCTGGGATAACTGTGACCATTGCACGGATGTACAAGTCCAACCTGTAAACATGATCATCAGATGCCAAGCCCTGTCCAGTTAAGAGCTGTGTTGGGCTAATGATAAGGGCCTAAAAATCTTCATGCCCTTTTCCAGAAGCTCCAATTCCTCCAGCCTGGCCTCAAATGTCACCTGCTGCAAAGTGACTCTCTCACTACTTAGGCTCTGTTCACCTTCCTACAAATGCCTTCAAGAAAGCACTTGTGGCTCTCCAGCTGCACCAGAGTTTGCTAGTAGGAGCACGACAGTACTAGAAGCTGTATTTCTTCCCTACTTTCATGTCTGGTGAGGGTGTTATTTAGGCCAATCCGTTAGGCAGTTCTGCCTCATATAATACATTGCATATGATAGATGCTGTCTGTCATCCTGAAATGGGATGTGTACATTGTATTTTTCAGCCAGTCTCAGTTAGGATATAGACAGATTTGTCTGCTGTTTTACTGAAGGGAAGAAAAAAAAAAAATTGACCCGTATCTGTTGATTTAGTTAATTATTAAAACGAATGGGAATCTCAGATTTCTGCAGTAAATTGTGGTGTGTGAAAAAAGGGTTTCATTGACTTAATTCTTAAATTATTTAAAAAAGATGAGGTTAGAAGGTGTGATTAATTCCCCCTGAGCGCTGCATTAATAGCCTTCCAGTGTTCTTAACCGTATAAGGGTTGCACTGGGGATTAACTATAGTCTTAAGTTTGACAGTCTAGGATGGGAGAATTAATAAGAAAATATTCAGCAGTGTTGAGTTTAGTAACAGGATGACACCACCTTGTAACTGCCTTCTAAACTCTCAGTGCAACTCTCCCTTCCTTTTGATCGTGTGTATTGCTGGCGATGTATGCCTAGAGAAGTATACCGGGACACTGCAGGAGTTAAAATCTTAAACCTTCTCATTGTTCCATAGCGTTTTACACTTTTTTTCTTTTCTCCCTTCACAGGAAATGACCTAGAGGCCTTACAAATACACTCGTGCATTTTTGTTCTGAGTCTACAATTGAGGGCAAATGCAGTCTGGAAGCACCACTTCTTAATGTTACAACGGAAACTACCTCAACAAATAAGGAAAGGGGAAGAAGGCTTGCAATAATAAACACTCTAATTTTTCATAGCTTATACTTGCAAAGTCTTCTGTAAACAGAGTCCAGATTTCCCCTCACCCCACCCCTCCAGTATTAAGAAGAGACACTACAAATAAACTAATTTGGCAGACTGGATCTGTCAAGACATTTGAAGATATTTGATCTGCTGACATAAGGATTTGCTTTTTCAAGGAAGGAGCTTCTGCACTGCTTTTTTTAATCGCTGTTGATCGGTGGTTTCCTCCACTTTTCCTGGTATTACTAGTGGGAAAATTGTATTAAGGTATTGCTTCTAAAACTATTATTTGCATTGACAAAAATAACTTTTGTAGACTTAACAGCAAGTGACAATAATATGCTCATGAAGAAATCGTAGGTGGTAACTTCTCTGCTCCAGTGTGGCTTTTCTGCGTGCAGAGTGGAATACCAAACAAGAGACAGAGCATTATTAAGATACTTCGGCTTGCTTTTTGACTACAGTTTATAACTGCAGCAGGGCTGCACTGAACACTGAAAATACGAAGTCAGCAAATCTGCTGCCTTTCTCACTGCTGATACAGATTATACAGACGCTTGCCTTTTTGAAATGCCTTTTGTGAAACCTATGTACACAGTCCGCCACTGTTACTGTACATAATTATATATTTGAGGAAGGAATTTGACAAGTGATTGTTAATTCAAGAAATCTTTGGACAAGCACTCACTTATGTATTGCTGTAGTGCACAAGAAAGCAAAATGGACTATAAGCGGCGCTTTTTGCTTGGCGGGTCCAAGCAAAAAGTGCAGCAACACCAGCAGTATCAAATGCCTGAGCTAGGCAGGACCCTGAGCGCACCGCTGGCATCTACAACCCCAGCATCCCCTTTGGTCTCCTCAGCTGCTGCGGGCAGCTGCAACCACCCTGTGTCCCACACTACTCCGATCGCAGACATCCAGCAGGGAATCTCCAAATACCTGGATGCACTCAACGTATTTTGCCGTACGAGCACTTTCCTTACAGACCTTTTCAGCAGTGTATTTAGGAACTCGCACTATTCTAAGGCAGCTATGCAACTGAAAGACGTGCAGGAACATGTCATGGAAGCAGCGAGTCGACTCACAGCAGCAATAAAACCAGAAATAGCAAAAATGCTGATGGAACTGAGTGCAGGAGCTGCAAACTTTAAAGATCAAAAAGAGTTCAGCCTCCAAGATATTGAGGTAAGTTACCTTGGGAGATCCTATTTTGCATTGAATTTGTGTCATTCTTTCTTAATTGGACCTTCTCTTCAAAATCATATCTACAACAAAAGTTCTTTCTGCTTTGCTTTGTATTTGGGGGCAATGCTGGTAAAAAGAGAAACTCTTCATTTCTTATGTTTTCTCCTTGAAAATATTAAGTAATTTGCAGTGCCTGACTTCCACCTATGTTGAATTGGGTATTTAGTAGGTATTTCTGTATAAGAACTTGTACTCTGTTTAAAGATTGCATGAAATAAGGAAGATGAGTTATAATTGTACTACCTGTATAATTCTAAATGGTAATCTTGTATACGATTTCAGCTTACACTCAGTAATCCAACAACCTCTTTCTTCTTTGGGGAAACCATGCTTAGTTTAAAAATAATAATAATGAAACCAAAACCAAAACAACCCCAACACCCTGCCCCTCCAAACTAACTATGTAACAGTTTTAAACAAATTTCTGGTTTATGTTAGCTAATATTTTTAGTGATATTAAGCCATCATATCCTAGATTAACCTATACTTTCTGTAGGATTACACGTTCTGAGGGGAAACCTGAACACTTGGGAGTGGTGTATTGTCATCAGTGTTTGTGTAAAACTGCATATTAGTTGACTAATGAACAAAATTTCTGTAAAATTATGTTTTATCACTCTTCAAAACATCTTTGTCTTTTTGAGCTGTTGTGCTTAAAAGGAAAATACCATGGTAGCATGAGAGATTTGTGCTGTAAAAATTTGTTATGACTTTGCTATAATTGCAGTACACTGGCAGCGAGTGCTCAACAGTCAGAATTCAGAGGTTGTGAAGTTGAGAGAGGATCCCCAACTCTAATTGTGACTGTCTGGGTGTTTCTGCGTATTTCTCCTGTAGTAAATGTCTTCATTATGTAACAGGCAGCGTTAAGTGACAGTCACGTATGAATCCCTGGTGTTTTAAGTAGTTTATGTTTTGACATATTTCTTTCCTTCGCAGCAGTCTCTGCAAAGTTATTCATGCAGAATTCCATCCTGAGTGGAAAACATATTTTTGAGTTCTCTTTTGATTTAGATTTCAGGTAACTTTGTAAGGATGAGTGTCATACACACTGCTTATCAAGCATTACTTGCTTTCTATAACTGCACAACGTACAGATGAAGCAGTTAAGTAGAATGCTTGCATAATTGTAGTGAGAAATATGACTGACAGTTTTCAGTGTATACTTAGTATACAATGAAGTAAGATTGGCCGTGTATTTTTTTATAAATGTCTTCTGTAGACTAGTATTTTTGAAAACAATCTGTAAGAAAAAATACCTTTTTTAAAAAAATTTTAAAATCACTGTGAGTTTATGTAATTAAGGCCTTGATAATAGCTGTGCTGAAAGACTTTTTAATTGAAAAACCTAAAAATATATGAAGCACTATCTGTCTTTTAGGGGTTTTTTGTGGCCTTTGAAACCCTGTATTGCAAAATGTGGGCAGCTATCTGTATTCTGCTTTTATAACCTAGTAAAGCAATTTAGGTGCTAATTCATGCACTGTTTGAGGAGAGTGCTTTCTTCAGACGGGAGTTCACAAGCAAAAGCAAAGCATCATTTGTGTAAGTTGACTGCACGTCCTGTCAGCGTAAAGCAAAGGCAGAGAAACGTGCTTTGGTCCCTGCTTTACCTGTATAGACCTAACCCTTGTTCTGGAGCTCCGTGTGCACCTGCGGTGCTCTCTTCACCAGGCAGCTCGATGGTAGGAACAGACATAAAGAGGGCGCAGGCAAAACAGCTGGCTTGCTTGCCTGGTTTTTTTTAGGCATATCTTGTGGAAATTGACCTCGACTTGCTGTACTTCTTGTCTGCCTTTTAAACTGCATCTTGCACGTAGCTTTAAAAAAAGTCAATATGTGAGACTTATGGGAACTTTGGTGTAATGAGACAAGTATTGCATTCTGCTTTTGCTGAAGAACCAGTGAAACTTAAAGATGTGACACTGACTCACATGGTTGTTTTATAAGTCAGGCAGGGAGCATGGTTTAGATGACTTAAGTATATGGATGATTGTGCCCGGGAAGCAGTTCAGTTGCTCACTGTTGAAATGGACCTTGTCAGAGGTCAGTATAGAGAATATATTTAAGTTTTTAGGTGACTTGGAAGTACATGATATAAGTATGCTGGAAGACCTGCTGAATTAAAAATATTCTGGAACTGAACAAGTGAGTTTTCCACTTGGGATGGAATTCAGAGGGAAAACTGAATGTTACAATATTTAAATAGGAAATTTTCAGCCTCTCAAGTGGAGCCCACTGGGCAGCAGTTCTAAGAAGACTTCTAGGGCTTACAGTAGTCGCATGTTGAGTGGAGTCAGTGTTGTGTGGTTGCAAATAATAAATCAGTGTTGTTGCTATTGTGCAAAGAGGCAGCTGTCATGTATTTAACAGGACTGTAACCTGCAAGAACCATGAAATAAGCATTCAACTTTCCTCACTTTGGTTATTATGATCTCAAACGCCACAGTACACCCACATACACACTGCTGTTGCACTTAGAGAAATAGTGAGCAACTGGAGAGACAGTAGAGGAGAGTAGCAAGAATAATCAGACATCCAGGAAACAGGACTTCAGAGGACAAATTGAAAAGATGGACTACAGGAGAGAAGACTAAGAAGGAAAATCGGAATTGTTCAGATTGTAATAATCTTCTGGCAGCTGTTCCATTCTTCATGTCCATGTAAGGTGGAGCAAGAAGTAATGAACTTAAATTTCAGAAGGAAAGATTCATGTTAGATGTGGAAACAATTTGTAATGTTAGTGAATTACTGACGTGGATGGCTACAAAGGGTAGGGAGCCTCCATGATGAAGAACTTACAGAACAGGTTAAACCTGCATCTAGCAAAACTGACCCAGGTGAAATTGCTCCTTGCTTGGGACAGTAGGATGGCCTTTTGAGAGGCTCTCCTACTCTGTTTTTCTGTGAATTGAAGACTGAGCTATTTATGCTGAAATTTTTATTTAAAAAGTGTAGTTTGGTTTTTTCCCAGATCTATAGAAAAGTTAACATTTGATAAAACTACCAGCAGGATTAAAAAACTCACAATGGAAGCAGCAAAATATAAAGGGCTTACCTGACTTCATTAGAGTTTTCTGACCAGGGGAAACAAGGGGAGAAGAGTGTGAGAGGCAGTGTAATTGTTTCCTTGGAAAATACAAGGGGGAAATACAGTAACATATGAAGTTTCTTTTGCAGCTTCTCTGGTAGACTGAAAGAACTTAGAGCTCTGAGAAAGAATTGAGAGATGGTTGAATGCCTGAATGGCAGCTTATCAATATTCTATGAAGAGGTACTCCAGAGCCTCTTATTTGAGGGGTGGAGTCTGGTATTACGGAAGCAGCAGAAGGGGAGTTGTAATTCATGGCGGGATGGGAGGACAGAACCCCAAATTCATGAGCTGGACACGAGAGTGAGGCTTTTTCTATGCATGAGCCCAGCTAAGGAAAACACACTTTTCCTAAGCCTTCCTCAACATTGTTCCTTGAGGAAGAATGAGAAATACAAGCAGAGCAGGCTTGGCTTTAGAAATTGAGGAGAGGAATATAGTTTTTCTGAGGTGCCACACATTTTTATCTAATGTAGTGGGCTCTAGCCCCAAGGGAAGGCAATATCAAGAAAAATCCCAAGTTCTGATAAACATACACTGACTTCAATTTGGACTAAAAAAGGTGGTGCAACTTGGATTGTAGCAGCAGTGGGTGAGGATTTTAATTTATTTATTGGTTTTTAGCAGAACAGAGCTTGCTAGTTCAGATGCCAAGATGTGTAAGAAGGTGACTTCTCTTGAACAAAGTTGTCGGTGACAGATGGAGTTTTCCAGGGTTTCTTAATTTCAGAAATGCAAGTGCTGATTTTTATTTTCTGCCTTTAATTTTCCCTTTTCAGAAAACTATGAATTCTCAGGTGTTTTGCCTGTTTGCCTGATGCTCCTGTTTGTATGTAACCAGTTTGATTAATACATGCCTGTATGGGTGAGGAACAGCTTGGAAATCAGGGGGAATGAGAGTCTGTTTTATGTTGTTTTTCAGATCTGTTGTTAAAGTTTTGTAAGCTAGAAGAATGCAATAAAACTGTACTTCTGTTAATAAAAGTGTTAAAGAAAATTTGGGGGAGGGGGTACGGAATAAAACTGAAAAAAGTTTATGTATTTCCTCATCTTTGTGAAGCTTTGCAGCAGCCTCACTACTGCAAAATACAAAGAATGAATCTTGGTTTAGTTACCTGATGCTTGTGTATTGTGCCTCAAAAGTGATGGTAATGACACAAATGTACATGTTGCCCTCCTAAACAAAAGGGAAGCATGAATGGGCACAGGATATTTACTTGGACTCTCTGTTTTGTATTAAGTGGAGATAATTTTTGGCTTTCACGTGTATAAAATAACCAAAGATTTTTGAGCAAGAGGCTTTTGGGACAAAAATGTCTGTGTAAATATAAAATGTAGGCTTTCCTTAGCAAACATTGTAAAGCCCAATTTAAATATTTTTTAAAAAATTATTATCTTTCACGTGATTTGCAGGGATTGGCTTCAGACTTCTCTGAGTTGAGGAACTGTTAGTAGGAAAAAGCTTCTTCAAATGAGTAGAAGATGCTATGGCTTACTGGAATGCCATTGTACTCTTGTCTTGGACTATAATCTTATGATCTGCTCTCAGATCTGCTAGCATTGTCTTCAGAAATATTTTGTATTACATTTTAATTACTGCTTTTTATTTTTTAAATACTTAACACTTAAATGCTTTTTTTGCTAAATTATAGTTAGCATTTTAATAGCTGTCAATATCAGATTATCACTACTGGGCTTTTAGGTTGACTGTTAGCAGAAATGAGTCTGTTAGGTTTCCCGTGTCTCCTAATACTGTAGATGTTAAGGTGCAACTTGTGCTGGAATCTAGTTTATCTTGTAGGTAACTTCTTCAGTGAGCAGGAGTGCATCTTCCTTTGCAGGTGTTTTGGTCGTGAGGTCCCTCTTCCAAACTGCAGAGCATTGCTACATAGTAAAAATGAATATTATTCTGCCCATTTTCAGTAATATGCGGGAAAGGGTATTATCTCATAATCCAGTACACCAGTTTAAGTCCTACCTCACTGTCAATTTCATTATATTGCTGTTTTAGTGTGATCTCTTCATTGGGTAGACAGGTTGTGCACGGGGCTTATTACCAAAGCCATTACGAACTGTGTTAGGGAAAATGGGGGTAGTAGGGAACCACTGAATAAGTGTGTTGCAGCATTTTTGGTTTTTGAGTGTTGTGTTTGTTTAGGGAAATAGCCAAAAAAAAAAAAGGGAGGGTGGTGAGCCGGGGGAGAAATTCTACTAAATGAAATGGTGCTTGGAACTGCACATCTGTGTTTGTATCCAGTTTGGAAGACTGACACTGGTTATTTGCTAACTTTATTAGTGTTAATGTTCTGTTTTAAAGGATCTCTTGTATAAGATTTGCTTGACAGGGAATTTGCATGGCATCACTGTTCAGCAATGAAATCTGGCAATTTTGTCTGTGCACTTTGTCCAACAAAATATTCCAAAGTTGATTGTGTGTCCCCATTAGGAGGATAATATGGGACAGAGTAACCTAACACTGCATCTCCACCTGATGCTCCTGTTTGTATGTAACCAGTTTGATTAAACTCATCACCTGTTTCAGAGACAAGGAAGTCTGAAGTGAGACCTCCCCAAAAGCCCCATTGCTTCCAACTGCCTAAACAGGAAGACAGATTCCTTTAGGTAAGGTTATTCAGCTGCTGAGATAGATAGCTGTGCTACCTGGTAACGGGCTGGGAAAGTCAAGGTGCTAGAGCTGTATTTCTTGGGACAAAATGTTTGCAAAGAGAAGACCTCATCATATATGCTATATAAATTATTCTAAAAAATTGTTTAAGAAAACACCACCACTACCAACAAAAACTTACGAATTGACACCTGTGATGATTCCAGTTCATCTTTGATTACTACACAGTCTCTAGGTTTTAGTCTGTTCTTACTATGGTCTAAAGCAGGAGAGTCAAACACTTCTGCATCGGAAAGTAGGGAAAAATAAGCTTGAAAAAGAGATGGTGGTGTGTCTGTGGCAAAACCACACCAATATGCTAATATTGTTCTGCGGATTTCGCAACAGAGATTTGGTATATTGCTTTACACACTTCGGTACTTGCTGGCCAACCCTGGCTGTATTTGTTAAACTGGTGGTGGTCGGGCTTCTTTCCCACAGTTAAGACAGAGTTTCAGCTCTTGGAAGAAAATCCTCAAGAAGTGAACTTTAAAGCAAAGGGAGTTTGGCATCTACAGTGAGTGCTTAACAGTGCAAAAATCCTCCACCACTTGGATTTTATTTAAGCAGTTGAAACCATCCTTACCCGTTTCTGGGGAAGACTGAAATAGATTATTTTTCAAACCAAATAGAAGTTCAGTGAAGCAGATGTTACTATTTATCTTTACTATTTAACATTGTAAATTATACTAGGAATGTTGTGTGCTGCCACTTAAAAACTAAATCATTTGTTTATTTTGAGCATTATTCCCAGGCAGGGGAAACTTCAACCTCTGTACCTTAAATATTCTTTGAAACTTAATCGGCTTGAAATTCCTAATGAGTCCTAGTTTCTTCTTCCCCTGAGAGCTGCATTGTTCGTACACAGAAATATTCAGATCACCAGTTGCCTTTTCCTGCAGTTTGCTTATAACTCTTTCTAATCTTGTAGCCAGGAAAGTTGAGTTCTGTTCATTTTATCATTTGCTGACTGTTTTTTTTTAATAAGGCAAACTCCATTTTCAGAGGTCAGTCAAAGTACCAAAAATGTTTAATTTTATGCCTTGTACAAAGAAGGGAAGTGATTTAACCAGAATGGAATGTCAAAAGGAGTCTGGATGCAATGGAAAAAAAGCATTGCCACCACTGGTTCTTCTAAAGTAGATAGTTAATGCATATAACTGTGCGTGTGACTACGGAGTCTTGCCAGTAAGATCATTGTGTCTGAATATTTTTATTCCAGAAGAATGTAGCTGAAAATAAGCCAGATGATTTATTTGCTCCAAGGCATGATGGCTTTGTACATTATCTGTGTATTTTATGAATTACTCCTAAAATGGAATTCACGTTGAGTCTTTTTTAATAAATCAAGTCAAATATATATTTTAAACCACTTTGTGTGACAAACTCCGTAAAAGAAACAGAACGCTTTGAATAGTTTTAAAATACTTTCTACAGTAATTTGCAAAATACTTGCTTCTGTGCTGTGTTCTAGTTATGCTTCGTTGTAAGCTTTTCTCTGTTTAGGAGAGCGTGGCCCTGAAGGTAGATGGAGCACTTCTGTTCATGCTGCTTTGCTCTCCAGGTTGTCCTTCTGGATGGTCGCACTCCTGTCTGCTCTTCCACATGTGGTGGCTGCCCCTAAATACTCAGTTTGCATGACTTGTTTTGTTTTGCTTGTAGTAACTGAGGCTGTCTGTCTTCGATCATAATTCTCATTAGCATTGGTGTAAGAGAGGGAGATAAATGGGGGATGGAAACATGCAGGGGACAGAGGTCCAGGATGGAGAGCCCAGCTCTGGCTGGCAGAGGTGGGCACCCCTTCCCCAGCACGATGCTGGTGCTGCTGCAGGGAGGGACCAGCAGCCCTTCGCTTCCCTGCCATTCCTCAGACTTTCTGAGTGAGTATTACATGACCCATTTCAGTGAAATATTCCGAAGAGGAGATTTGTGCCAGCGTTAGCAGTTCCTGTCAGACAATGCAAGTGACAGGGCTGCAACTTTGTGCGTGCGTTCTGCAGTCACTGTTATATTCTAAAAATGGCACTGTGTTGCCACGGTATTATGTGGCAAAATGTTTTTGATGTTATTACCGGTTATTGCTCTGCTTGGAAGATAAACTGCTGGATTAAACTTTTCTGATTTTTTTTTTTATGATAATGTTTTGAAATTATTCAATTTTTTGTTTGTTTTGGGTTTTTTAGCGTAAATTCAGCTAGGTCTATATGCATGTGGGTTTTGCTGTTGACTTTGTTCTTGTGACAATACACTACTCCCATTTTTGTATTGTTTCACGTGCTTGATATTGCTAAGTAACTTAACAAGCTTTTCATCCTTCAAATAACTGTAACTTGAGTGCAGAACTAAAAGTGACATGGGATCAGTCTGATTTCCCCTTAGTTCATAGAAACCAACACCCACTCACTGTTTACCTTACTTTAAGTAAATGATTAAATATTGTGTATTGCTTATAATCTGAAGCATTATTTTAATGAAAAAAGGTCTGAGTTTAACTTAGTTCCTTACCCCAAACACTGAACAAAAAGGAAGAAGGGAAACTTCCATGAAATCTATTTGCTTTAAATTGGTTTGTTTCTTCTGCCATAGGTACTTGGGCGATGTTTCTTGACGGTGATGCAGGTCCACTTTCAGTTCCTGTCACAAGCTTTGCAGAAGGTCCAGCCGGTGGCACACTCTTGCTTTGCTGAAGCTGTAGCTCAAGAGAGAAAGAACATCAGTGGGGCTGGAGCTTCAAATTTAAGCCCCACAAATGAGCTAGAAGATGCAATAAGATCATGGAGAGGAGCAGCAGAGGTACGGAGGTCTTGCTGTGGTGACAGTATATTTAGTGAAATGACAGTTACGTTTAGTGAAACCTAAATTCAGGCTCGATGCCCTAATCAAGGAAGAAAATCTCTCATTTTAAAGACATGCTACATTTGAAGGGGGGGGATCGTGGTGCAGTTAGGCTCAGATGCTAAAACTTGTTTTACCTCTTTGGTGTTTATAATATCTTTGCCCTGTGTAAAGCTTGCTTTGTGATGTAATTGTACATAAGGAGTGCACAAACAGTGGAAATAGCTTTTTGTTATTAGTAATGAATTAACAATGTTCGACTGTGGTTTGGCAGAATTAAAAAAAAAAATTAAACAAAATGCAAACATACAAGTTGTTCAAAACCAGCAAAATCTTGATGAAAAGTAATTTAGATTATGTATATTTCTCTTAAATTTTGAGTATGAATTCTATTTCATACTTAAAAATCTTTACGGTAACTTTTAACACTCTTGTCTTCATGCTGTTAAGCTTGATCCAGCAGTTGTTGGAATGTTAGTTATATTACTTAAATGTACCTCTCTCTGGACTTGTATTTCTGCAGACACTTGCCACCTGTGGAATCTTTACTTTTCCTGCCGAAAAAAGTACTTTACAAAGAAAAATAGGTTTATGAGCTTTTCTGCTTTCCCTTGAACTATTGAAGTCTGCAGACTGATAGATAGATAGAAATGGATTCAGACACTGAGTGCATGGTTTCCTTAAATTCAAATAACTTGGAGCATGTGCTTTTGAAGTCTAATTTGGCAGCCCACACAGGCTTGTTAATCATCTTGACTGGAAATCTTATCAAGGTTTCCATTTCTCTACTAACATCTGCAAGGTATATGAAAGCGAACAAGTTTCCGTTAGAACTATGAATGCAGAGGAATTACAAGTAATATTCACTGCAGCATAAATTTATTTCACTGGATAAAATAAGGATTTGGGAGTGCTTTAGGTGTATTACAGATAATCGTAATAGGTCTAATCCTGATGCAGCTTTACTTCTTTCGCATAAAACCAGTTACTTTTATGTTTATTATACTTAGTTCCTTAAAACTGTGTTACAATTTCTAGAAATGCCCTGGAATTGCTATCAAGGCTGTTTAAAACGTGGTGAAAATTAAACTTGAGTTTGCAGAATCTGGGACTTTAACTTGATGATTTTTTTTAACCTCCTTAACAGCCCACTTCCACTATTTCTGTTAATAAAATCTGTATTTCAAAATAGATTTTAGTGCAAGTATTACACTACTCAAATCCTTTATTAAACATACATGGGGAGGAGAAGAGAAAAATGCAGATTCTTCCTAGTTCAAGAATAACAGTAGAAGAAACTTCTCAATTCTTGATTGGCTAAAATAACTAATCTGAAATGTTTGTATAGGGTTTTAGGATAGCGTAAGAAAAATCTGTACTCTGTAAATAAAATCTTTCTCTCTCTCTTGCAGTTATAAACAGACTAATATACAAGTCATTTTGATAAAAAGATTTGAAATGGTAAAATCTTTCAAAATTTTTCTTTCTGGAGTGGAAGGCAGTCCACTATTTCCATATAAAATCGGCCTCTCTTGCAGGAGAATACACTGCTGTTTCAGAGTAAAGTTTAAGATGATAATTTGTCAGTTGCTCAAAGCTATTTTCCTTTTTAAGATTTTTTTTTTTTAACTTGGAAAATGCTGTAATTTTGTATGTGTTGATGAGGTGAGCAATGTTTCTGTCCATTGGCTGTAGTACCAAAAATCCCCAGTTTGAACATCCTGCTTTAGAGCAAGACTCCTTCCTAGACTGACAAACAAGCCGTATCTGAGGCCTTAAAGGCAGTTGAGAGTAGGTTTCTGTTTGTTTTACCCTGCTCAGTAATGTTTTACACTTAAAACTAGGTATTTGGCTTTTCATATTCCTTATTTTTCAAAATCATATTATATAAAGCTATTCTCTTGCTGTGCTAAGTTGATCTTACAGTCTTGTGTGGCTCTTCTCAAATTGCGCCACAGTAATCGCCCTTAATTTTATAAAATATATCTTATGAACTCAGGAGTGTTTGTACACACGATTAAATGTATCTTTGGTTTCTGTGGCAAGTAATATACCCTTTATGTTGAAGATATAAGTCCCTGCTCTGGTACCTCCAGTCATCATATGGCCTGTGTCCTGAGAGGAAGCTGAAAGAGTAGCAGCAAACATGTTGAATTAAGTTGCTAGCCAACACCTATATGCCATACAAATTATGTGAGACTTGTACTTTCAAAGTAGCAGTAGAGGTTTAATAAGTTATAATAAATAATCTTCTCCAGATCCTTTCCATGTAGTGCTGCTTCTCATCTCCTTTGTAATGTTTTAAACTCTGTGGGTTGGGGTTTTTTTTGTTCTTTTTTAAAAAATTAATTAAGCTTGTGGTTTAATGCTGAACCTCTTTACCCTGGATTTTTATTTTGCATTACAGGCCACATCTCGACTGCGAGAAAGAGGCTGTGATGGATGTTTGGCAGGAATTGAAGTTCAGCAACTTTTCTGCTCACAGAGTGTGGCAATCCCTGAACATCAGCTCAAAGAGCTAAACATAAAAATTGACAGTGCTTTGCAGGTGAGTTCTTAAAGTCTGTGGCTTTCAGGTGCATGTGGAGTGGGCCAAGGAGTGAAATAGGGAAGGTGTATATTACTGCAGAAATATGTACCACAGGAACCCATGAGGTATTTGAGAATTATGGTATTGGAATCTTACATGATAAATGTGTGTATGGTATAGAACTGAGTAGCGTAAATCCACGTAACAATTCTTATGTCTGTATCCACACACAGTGATGTCTGCATGCTCGCTTACTTGCTGATGTGCCTGTTCTATCTTAACTTTTTGTTTAATGTCAGGCCTACAAAGTGGCTTTGGAGAGTTTAGGCCACTGTGAATATGCAATGAAGGCTGGCTTCCACTTGAACCCAAAAGCTATTGAAGCAAGTCTTCAGGTACGATCTGCTAAACCTGCTCTCTCTTTTCATCCCTCCTCACCTTGAAAATAACTATTAAAAAAAAAATAAAATTGACTTATATTAGGAATTTCTACTGTCTTAATTTCTTCTGATTGATCTGTTTCATATTTCAGGGCTGTTGCAGTGAAGCTGAAGCCCAGCAAACAGGAAGGAGACAGACTCCACCTCAGCCAATTCAGTGTGAACTGCCCACTGTACCTGTTCAGATAGGATCACATTTTCTGAAAGGAATATCGTTTAATGAGTCTGCAGCAGAAAACCTGAAGCTGAAAACGGTAATAACCCTGAATCTAACCACAGGAGTGAAGAAGAAAAAGTATAACTCCTTAAAATTCAGAGAACAACTGCAGTAGAAGTTCAGTGCCAAACTTGTATTTACAAGTGCTTATTTTTAGCCTGACTTCCTGTGGAAACACGATGTTGATAACATTGTATGTCCACACCTGCTTCTGATAACGTTTTAACCACCTGGGCAGATTCAGTCCAATCCAAGAGAAGTGTTAGAAGTCTAGGAGGTAATGAAGCTTCTGTGAACTTTCTGAAAATAGGTGGGTTAGGTATCAAGAAGTGCAGAGGAAAGAGAGCTCTTTCAGGTGCCCCAACCAGATGACACACTTCAGAGCTTTTATCATCTTAACTGCCAAAATAAGTCTGGTCCAACCTAGTGCTAAGGGAGGTACTTCAATAAATTAAAAAAAAAAAAATTAAGATGGTGGAGAAGTTAATTGTATTTTCAGTATAAAGGAATGGAAAGGATGTCCATTCAGAAGGAACTGGGACAATTTTAATCAGCATTTTCAGGTTTTTTTTTAGATAAGCCCAGCTCCTTGCTCCTGAAAGAGTTGAAACAATCCACAGCTCAAAATGCTGCTTTTCTGTTGTCTTTGCAGTGCCCTTTGTAGTTTTGATTAAACTGTTTTGCAAGAATATAAGCAAAAATACTCCAAAGAAGTATTGTGTTCCAAATAGCAGAGACAGTCTTCCATATTTCTGTTCTCCAGTTGAGCTCTTCTAGTTATACAAGACTGTTCAGAGGTAAAAGACATTATAGCTGTTTGAAAAACTATAGAACAGTGATAAATACATATGGAAGCATTGGTGAATGTTTCTGAATTGCATATTTAGTATGACAAAGATGTTATGATTTTATTTTTTTTTTCAGCACACAATGCTGCAGTTGATTAAGGAAGCTGGATGCCATAATGGACTTACACCACGGGATGACTCTCCTGTTACTGAAGTACTAAATCAGGTTTGCCCTTCCACTTGGCGAGGAGCCTGCAAAACTGCTGTACAATTGTTATTTGGCCAAGCTGGACTGGTAAGTGACTATGAAATCCTGAAAAGAAAGTAGATATTTAAAAGAGTTTAGAAATTAATTTCCAGTGTCTTCCTTTGTGTTTCTCCATTTTTTAACGCTGCAACTAACTTGGTTTATGAGCAAAGTATGTCCTTGTAAAATGCAAGTTTGTAGATGGTATCTGCAGTTGGTAGGAACAGGAGAATGTGCTGTGTACTTTGTGGTCTCTGTTATTACTAGAGAGAACACAAGAAGTGAGACTTAATTCATAGTGAAATAGAAAGATTTTAAAATCTATAGATGACCATGTTAAAAAGAAACACCCCTTCCCCCCGCTTCTCTCAGGTTAGCTTTAAAAACTGCCATTTTTTCATTTCCTCTGCTTTGAATGGAAGCTGGGTTTCCTGCCCAACATAAACCAGGAAGCCCTCTGCATCAAGTAATGCTGCCTGACATCTCCAAAGAGGACAGAACAATTAAATACCTTGCTGTAGACATATGTGTTCTTTAGAAACAAACCCCATGGATTTTACAGTATCTAAACAGTTTCTAAAAACTGATGCTTGGAACATACTCTAAGAAAATGCAGTTGTACTGCTGTAAATAATTACTGCAATCTCTTCATCTAATAAAGTGTTCATTCATGACACATAGGTTTTTTGGACTACTGTGAGTTTTCATTTGACTGGACAAATAAAATGGGGGCAGGAAGATAGGAAGGAAATGCAAGCATAAAGGTACACCACGGCCTGTGATAGTGTCTGTCAAATATTCTTTGAATCATCTTTAACCTACAGTGACCTAAATGCTTCTTGTCAATTCATATACTGATTCTTTGTCCAAGGTGATGGCAGGCCATCAGGACTGTGTAATTAATTGTAATTTCTGATGGAAGGATCCATATTGATACATACTTTGTAAATATCACATTTTCAAACAAGTCACACAACTGATTAAGTGACTTTGACCTTCCTTCCTAGTCCATTAAATTATATGTTTTTTGGTACCATTAATAGGTTCTCCAATAACGGTGAATGACAAACTGTAAATAATAAATTTGTCAGGTATTTCTACTTTAGCATTCCTTTGATAATAAACATTAGATATTCCCTTAATATTAAATATTTGTTAGAGAAGTAGGTTCAAATCATGCTGGAATTCAACTGACTTCTTATGTAAAGAAGGCCTAAAATCAAAAGGACAGTCCATCAATATCATAACAGCAGTGCACCTGCTATCAGTCTTTATTTCACTGTGATACAGGGATTTAAGGACAGGAGATGGTAGTGCATTAACCACTTTGTATAAGGAAGATTTACAGGGAGGCATAAGAAGGTGGTATCTTTGCAGGGAGAGAAACCAACTGTGGATAGTAGGATTGAGCAAATTCCTACTTGGGTGTTATCAAGGGAAACGTGTTAAATATGATTAGAAGAAGAACTAGAAGAAAAGGATATAGTTAAGTGGGATTGTGTCTTCGCCTGCCATATTTCATGGCAGGGTGCTATGCTGGGAGTCAGCAGCAAAGTACGGGAAATGAGGCCAGAAAAACTGTTTCTCAGCAGCCCTATGGGAGTGTGCCGTAACTCGAGAGGAGTTCTTGGCTTCTGAGTGTCTAGATGAGGAATGCCTTGGAGGATGCTGCACCTCCCACCGTTTCCGTTCCAGGGGCTTTCAGGGTTGTGCACACCCAGGTTCTGCCCTGGTGAGATTTGGCGAGTGGCCCAAGGTGCATTTGGACTCAGGAATCTGGAAATCTCCTGGTGTCCTGTCTAGACGTAACTAGTTAGACCTGCTGGTAATTAAAGTGCTGATGTTCTTCAGGTTTATTGTATCATTTGAAGAGTTGTCAGCATAAAACTTGCACATTCTCCCAAATGACAGTGCTGATATAAGGATTGTTACTTGTGTTGAATCATAAATGTCTCCAAAGATTTTTGCATGAACCTCAGGTTCTGAGAGTAGCTGGCTTCTATCTTCAAAGACATAGTAATGAGCTATACACATGACTAAATACTTGTGAGCTTTCTCTCTTTCGTTCATTCTCGCTTTGAGTTGTTACAATTTGGAAGGGTGTGAGGGTTGAGGTTTTTCTTTATAAACTGTGTGCTATAATTTTTTTTTACAATATTCAATTATGCTTGTGTGCAGCCTCATGCAATGATGAGAAATTGTAATTTGCTTCTTTAAAGCATTCTTTGGGTGGAGATGAGAGAGGAAACACCTGTAAAACAAGAACAATAGATGTCTGATGCACAGGAAGCTATCCTCTAAGCACCCAGCAGGCTGGGAGGGAGAATGTGTTTATTTTAAGTTTATTTTGTGTAGGACTCAGATAAATGAATCTTGGGACAATATTACATAATCTTTGGTTTACTGCTTTTAGAACCTAAGCTGTCTGCATTAGTTCAGAATTGTGTGTAAATTTGCCATTTAAGTGCCAATTTTAAGCAAGAACATACTTGTCAGTCTCACTGTCTTTAGCCTGTCTTGCCATGTGATTTTTAATACAAAACTCATTAAGAGTGGAAAGCACAATGAGATATGACTTAGTTTGCTTGGTTATTTTAGGCTTCAGGTTTTTTAACATAAGAAATAATTTTTAAAAGTGCAGTTTTTCAGTTTTTACCTTAGCATATAAAGAATTGTATTTTCAGATTTGGGTCAGCTGAAGAAATCTCCATGTTTGAATAAAAGCAACATGTATTAACATAGTTGAATTTGGAGGATGAGTACAAATAAAACTTTGGCCTCATACGAAGTCATGAAGAGAAGGTTTCACTGAGTCTCTAGCCATCTTTTTTTGTGCTTTCTGTAGCAAAAAACAGCATGCATTGCAGAAGCACTAAATCTCCGAGTAATGTTTAAATCCCAGATGTTGTAACTCTGACCAAATGTTGAGGAAGGTAAAACTTTTTTTAATGGGAAGAAAGGAAGATATTGGGGGGGAGACGCTCCCAGCAAAGCCCAGGCCATGAGCACTTCCCTGCATCACTACTAGAAGCTGATCTAGCTCTGCACAAATCAGAATTTTAGTTCTGACTTACAGGTCTGAGATGCAGACAGTATTTTTCTTGAGAGATCAGAAAAATCACTCCTAAATTAATTTCTCCTTATCCCAATTATAATTGTAATATAGCTGAATTGCAGGTTACAAAATTACATAAAATTAAAATGGTACAAATACAAGGAAAAAGGTGCTGGAGTTGCCCTGTTATTAACTGAGAGGCATTTTCATGAGTGGATAATAGCAGGGCGTTTTGTCACTGTGCTTAGACATGTTTTACAAGTTTGAATAAACTTGGGCAAATGCTTAGAGTCAACCGGAGGAAAACTAAGGCCTTATACTGAAATATCTAAAAGGTGGGAAATAACTGTGTTCAAATGTCATTGGATGGTTTAGTTAAAGCAAGAGAGAGAAGAGACTCTCAGCATTTTTCATATTTCACATTCCTTCATATCCAGTAGTAGGAAACCAGTTAGAAGTAGAACCAGTGTAGGATGATTACAAAAAAGCCAGTCATATCCCTTGAGGCTTATTTATACCAGAGGACTTCTGCCATTTCGAGGATAAATGGTACAGCTAATCTGCTAGTCACTGAAGCAAGAACTGCTGACTGCTGCCAAAAAGCTGCTGGTTCAGCATGACCAAAATAGGAAATTATGGAAATGATCAAAAAGGCCAACCCATGCAGACTGGACAACAACAGAAAGCACGAACCAAATATGGAACTTACTATCACTGGTATTAAAGTTTAAATGAAGCTGAAGTGAATCCGTTCCTACCCAATTCCATAAAAAGAAAGGTTCATGATAGAAGGTTAATTTTCAACACTTTCATCTTCCATATACCTTCATGATGTCTTACAGAAGGCTCAGAATTCAACAAATTGAACAGTTGCCTTTCTTCTCTTTATGTAATAGGGAATTAATAATAGTACAGTTCCATTAGGTAGAAAAGAGAAATGTTGGTGTAAGATTTTTATAACCTTGAAAGAAGGGGGTGTGCGTTAAGAATTGTGAGCTATGAGAAGAGTTTCAGACTAAATATTACTTGTCTATATCATACCATGCACTGCAGTTTAAATAATTTAAAGTATTCGGATAAATAAGTGTTTGGGAGCTATTAAACTAGTAATAGTGCCAAACCTCTCAAATGTAAGGGCCGTTATACAAAGCCATTGATAATTACCAGCTGTTAGGTAAAGCAGTTGGTTGCTGGGTAGTGATGCATAACTATAATATATAATTGAGAAAAATTAAGTCCTTGAAATACAGGTTACTGTATTAAACTAATAATTTTATATTCGTTCTCCTTTTTTTGAGATATTAAATTGGAAGTCAACTTAAAATGATTTTGTGAGATGATTTGATTTTATCTGGTTATTTTTTTTGCACCTGTAGTGTGGCAGGGAGGTGAGATTATTGCATCTTAACTACAGGGTTGATAAAAACTAGAACTAATTTTTAAAATTTCCCTTTTATTTTCATTTTATTTGCTAGGTGGTTGTGGATACAGCACAGATTGAAAATAAAGAAGCCTATGCTCCTCAGATAAGTTTAGAAGGATCCAGAATTGTGGTGCAAGTTCCATCAACTTGGTAAATAAAAAATACTGTATTGCAGCTATGACTGAAATATATAGGGGAAAAAACGTGGAGTACAAATGGCAGAGAGAATACTATGCAGTTATGGTGTATCTTCCCGAAGTTCCTTTATCTGGAACAGTTTGAATACCACTGTTCCTGACAGACAGTTGTACTTCAGCTGTCTTTGTACTAGTGCTGCCTCTGGGGGGAATAGGAGAGAGGCAGAGCTGGGGCACCGAAACATACTTTCAAAGAAAAATTAACAGCTTGATGATGAAAGAGAAGATTTAAAAAAAAAAAAAAAAAAAAAATCCTGTTATGCTCCTCCCTGGCAGGTCCTCCCAGCTGTTACCTCAGGAAGGTGAGGAATTAGATGAGATTAATATGAGAGCTTTAGTTCTTTCTTCACTGACCTGTCGTAAACCGTAGAAGTCTGGTCCAGAGATACTATTCCTGCCAGTTTAGTTGACTGCCTAGGAAGGAGTGGTAGGATTAATCTGCAGTTTAGGTGGATTTCTCCCCTTTTGAAACAATGATTTGGAATTGGAACACTTCCTTTCACTCTTACTTTGGAGTACTCAGTGTTATGAATTTCAGTACAACACAGCTCATTCATCTGAATCCTCACTGGAGACAGCCTGTTACTAATGGTACCAATGGCATGTCCTGAAGTACGAGTCAACTGATAGTCTGTTTACGCAAATACATCTTTAATTCCTCTGTAGAGTATAAACTGGCCCTTCTCTGTCCTCTCTGTTAATCGCTCTAGTATGAAAGAACTAAAATAACGCAGCGTGCTTTGAGCCAGGCTTTGTGCACTCTGGAAGAGCTCCGCCTGCTGACACACAGTGAGAGTGCCTCTTGATTCGGCTCTGCTGGGGGGGCTCATTAAGGACTTGACAAATGTGCTGATATTTAGGCTTAAGTTATTCTGATTTCACCTCAAATTCAGTCCTAATTCTGTGCCGTTAATGAGGAAAATTCACTAATCCTGCATCTTCACAGCTCAGTAAAATCTTCCCCAGACTGTTGGATATGCTGAATCATTTTGCACGTGGAGTCTGTCAGGCTGGGGGCTGGACTCCAGAATGTGCCCATGCACTAGTGTGTTGTGTCAGGTTTGCTGAGTGTTCTTGCCGTTTTCCAGAAATGGGCTTCGTGTGTTTGTTAGTTCTTACCTCTGTGCCTGAATTATGCCTGCTCAGCTAAAGAGCTAATCATTAATCATGATTTTAAAATGAATTATATAACTCTTAATTTTACAGTTAGATTAGTTTTATATTTACCAGTAGAAAGAAACTGGGGCTGCAGGCATTGTCTTTAGGAACCCTCAGACATTCCTACATTATGCTGCCTTTACTAGTTGTACCTCTGTAGAAGCAGTAGTGGTGCATCAACCGGCCTTTTATTTTCTGGCTAGTATGGTGAAATCATTTAATGTAAAAAAAAAAAAAAATAAATTGATTTTTAAGTTAAACTTAATGATTACAGGTGTCTGAAAGAAGATCCAGCAACAATGTCTTTGCTACAGAGGAGTCTGGATCCAGAGAAGACTTTGGGACTAGTAGATGTGCTCTATACCGCTGTGTTTGACATACACAGGTGGAAGGAAGGAAGGTACATCTCCTCTTGAGCTCTACTTTCCTAGTTTAAACAAAGCCATCATTGTTGAAATATCTATACTGAGGAATTTGATAGTACCAGTTCATCAGAAGGGGAAAGCAGTAGTCCAACCAAGCACAAGAAATTGGTAATCTACATAGGTACCTTGTGGGTATGTACAGAGATACAGCAGTCTTTTTAAAACCAAACTAGCAGCTTATCCTTAGTTTGTACACTTACTAAGTGTACAAGAGTATTTGTTTCTCTCTTACAAAAATACTTGGTTTATATTAAATTAGTCTCCATTTAGGTCTTGAAGCACAACTTAAAATTTCTTAAGGAATGGAGTTAATGCTATTGCAAATACTAGTAGTAATTTGCATTGTTACCATAAGAAGTAGCTGATGAACTTAGCAGTCTTTGGTTTTGTTTCTTCCACTAGCTATTGCCCAAATACACATTTGTGTTATGTATTGGGTGGTTTGATATATGTGTCTTTGTTGATGCAGGGAGCAAGCTTTGCCTTGTATTCAGATCCAGTTACAGCGTGAAATCTCGGACTTTGGGAATCAAGTTGACATGCCATCCGGAAATGGAAGCAAATCTTCAGGTGGTCTACAAAAGACGTTCTCAAAACTGACTTCACGGTTTACAAAAAAAACTTCCTGCACCAGTACAAGTAATACTGGAAGTTATTCAATCCCCAATACACCTTCCAAAAATGTCTTCATAAGTTCCAATTCAGAGGAGAAAGCTAAAATGCCCGCTAACATAGACGCACGGTTACAAAGCATTCTGAACATCGGTAATTTTCCTAGGACCGCAGATCCACTGCAGTCAATTCAGAGCACAAATAATCAGCTAGCGAATGGGTTTCTAGTTGAAAGACGTGATAACTTCTTCAAACCGGATGATGGCAAGGATGACAAAGGTATGAATTTGCCAACTGACCAAGAAATGCAGGATGTTATAGATTTCTTGTCTGGTTTTAACATGGGCAAATCCCAGCAGACTTCTCCGATGGTGAAAAGAAGGAACTCTGTTGCATCCTCTACAGCCACGGAACAAAAATCAGGAACAGTACAACAGCAACCGCAATCTGTCTCTCACACACCACTGCATCCTTCTCAGCAAGGCTTGTCACAGCAACAGCAGTCACAAAAGCAGCAGCAGCAGCAAATGCAGTATTACCAACACTTGCTTCAACCTATTGGACCACAGCAACGTGTACCTGCCAAATGGCTGACGAATTCTTCACAGCAGCCAGCCCAAGCTGTTGGAGCTGGATTGTCTCATATAAACCAGTGGAACAATCCTGGTTTTTCAGATTTAAGCTCTGATTTATACAGCTTGGGCCTTGTGAGCAGCTATATGGACAATATGATGTCAGAGATGTTAGGACAGAAACCACAAGGACCTAGAAACAACACATGGCCAAATCGTGACCAAACTGATGGAGTGTTTGGGATGCTGGGAGAAGTCCTGCCTTTTGACCCTGCAGGTGTGTGTCTTTATGTTTTTTATAAGGGCCGTTTTACAAAGGATACTCTTAAATATTGCTAGCAATAACTTATTTCTTAGTGCTATCTACCAGATGCTAGGGTGCTTACAAAGGCAAGCAGGTATTTATATGTATGCCTTTTTTAACAGAAGGTGAACTGAAGTACAAGTGACTTAATAATTAATAAATAAGAATGGGAACAAATTCCTTGTTTCTTATTCTAGTTGTAGTAATTCCGACCTTTTCTATGGACCACATCAAAGTACTGAAAAGAGATACTGACAGATGATGTTCCTCCTAGTGTCCATTTGTAAAACTGTTTAAAACCAAACTCTTGAACTTAGTTACCTCTCCCCAAAATGATCCTTCCTGCTCTTTACCAGTCTTGCAGTCTGGAGATAGAGCTGGATTGTATGTTTTCCCATATCCCTGCATTTCCCCTCCATTACTGTGCAATTCCATGGGAGCCCTACTGTTCTATGGCTGTTACTGCAGTGAAAACCTTGGATGCCAAAGGATTAGACTGAAGAGCAAGTGCCGTGTGGTTTGTCAGATGTGTTTGAACACCAATAAATTGTAAATATAGAGGGATTATTGTCAAAGATGAAGTGAGATAAAATTTTATAGCCATAAGCAAATAGCTAAAGACACTGAAATGGACTGTACAGCCTAAGAGGAGATTAATGAATTCTTCTGATAATAGTACTAAGAACAACTTACAGATCTATTATCCCGTAAATATAATTTCTGCTGGCCTGGAACGTAGCTACAGAAACTTTGTAGTGTGCATTTATGAAAACTGCCTGGAGGGAAGCAGCACCAGAACTTGCAGGAAAACCTTTCATCAAACCATGAATCAGTTTCCCGCGCTCATTTGCACACGTGTGCGTGTTAGGACTGTGTAGGCGTCTCAGGAACCAGCTCATTTGACTCATAATTTTGATAGTTGCGTCAACTGAGCTGATAAATTAAGGGAGTTTATAAAGCAAAAATGGGCATCAGTTACGTTATCAAAAGCTTCTGAATGATTTTAAGTCTGAATTAGCATTATCTTATTTAAACATACTTATGGTATATACTTAAGGATTGTCACAGCCTTTAAGGAATGATGAAATTATTTTCACCAAGCACCAAATCTGTGTATGTGTAAGGGGAAAAAAAGTACATGTATACAAAGGACTGGCATTTTTAGCATTTTGAATCCATTACGTTTCTGTAGTGTTTTCCTTTCAATCTACATAAAGCAACTTGTTCAATTTGATGTGATGAATATTGAGGATATTGAAAGTGATACTCTGAAAAGGTGACTTACTGAAGTTGATAAATGGTACTCTGTGGATTAAGATATGTTTCTCAGTTGAAGTGGTAAGTAAACAGTATTTTCCACAAATGTGAGGTTTAAAAAACAAAAACCAAACAAAAAAACCCCTTCCAGTCAAATAGATTTTTCCATTGGAAAGAAAACTTTTCTTCATGTAACTGGTGAGGTTGAGCTGTGATGTGTAGGAATTTTCAATTTAAGCTCTAGCTAGTGTGCTACAGAAAGCTTTAAAACAGGAACCTTGTTAATTTCCAGACTTTCTTAGGACTTTGCACATTTGTCATTTGAAACAAAAGGCCTTAACTTTTTTGATAAATATTTTTCGAGCCTAAAAATTATGTTGTCTCTTTTCAGATGCAAATCTGCTAATTAGGAATGTATAAAATTGATGGCTTTTTATGTCGAAGGCTTAACTAGTTTTGTATTTTGCAGTACTTTTATCATCTGTAAGAACTTGATGAAGCAATGTTGCAGGAGGAACTAGTAGAAGGAATGTTGATACCTCCAGGTCTTTTGAATTACTTTCACAGATGTGAAAGAATGAACTTGAAAACCTATCTGATAAAATGCTGTTTACCTGATAGGTTTTTATGGAGGTAAAAATTAACACAAGTTGCTATTTTGAATATAACAGTAATTTAATACTTGATGCTATTCACAGGAAAAAAGCCTGGACACCCTTCAGAGTCTTACCTAGAATCTATTCTTAGATCTGAGGATCTGTCTAGCTTCCAGCCTCATCTTAAATTGACATAAAGACATTTCTCAAAGAGAACAAGTATTAGTGGGAATATTGTGTTTCTGTATAGCTGTCAGATAGCTCTGTCCCCCGCTTAAATAATAAAGAATATATAGAAACAAAGTTAATTTCTTCATCATTTTACTTTGCATCCACCAAAACCATTGTGGAGCTCTTTTCTGAATCTGCCAAACAAAAAGGAGGAAACTTTTCTTCTAAATGCCGAACTGAATGTAGGGAAGCCTTCACATGAAAGACTGATTTCTGCTTTCTGAGCTGTGTGTGCTTGTTGGATGTTCTTCAGTCTTCACTCTTCATTTAAAACGGAGACCAGCAAGCCAGCGGCTCTGCACTTCCTGCTGCAGTCACTACGCGTGCACTCTAGGCATTTTCCATAGACCCAGTCACACTGCAAAGTTTTCCCTCAGAAAAAAAAAAAGGGGGGAGCAAAAAGAAACAGAAGCTGTGGAAGCTCTGTTACACGGACTCATAACAGCATTCTTTAATATGGGAATTATTTGCTCTGATCAGCTGAGCATTTAAAACACTTCTGGATTAAGGCTTTTTCTGTGTCCACTCAAGATCATGCTTATCACTTATCAGATTCTTGGGACACATAAAGTGCTTTAAGAACGGAAGAACTTTTATTTTTAAGAATTACTGCTTTTTTCTGTAAATACCAGTCTTGCTCTGAAATATTTTGCAGGTCAGGATCAGAATGTTTTTGAAATTGTTGTCTAGTCTTTGTAGGAAGGAGGCAGTTTCTGGGCTGTATGTTCTAATATGATCAGTCTGAGATTGTGATTTCTTGAAGTAAGCTGGATTGCAACATAGCTGGAAATCATGTTGCAGTCTGGAATCAACTATAGTAAATGGTATGTGCTTTGTCTCTGAGCTTGGATAAATGTACAGCTTTAATTCTGACCGTGTCTGCTCATGGGATATTGGACCTTTCAGAGTATAGACCTGATCATAGTGACAAATACCATTTTCCTGATGGAATGCAAGGGGCAGGTGTACTCCCATGTGAGAGTTATTATCCACCACATATGGATGGTGTGTATCTACTTTTTTGAAACACTTCCCATTCAGTGTTCTTCACTGCCCCATGAAGAGGTATCAGCTGTTGTCTGACACTTATCAGCGAGGGAATTATTTTCTGTTGTGGGGTATGGTCAAGCCTAAAGGATTAAATGAGAGGGATAACTGCAGTACAAATAGCTGAATGTCAGCAACTGACTTCTTGGTTTCTTTTATTCAGTTGGCTCCGATCCAGAATTTGCCCGCTACGTTGCTGGGGTCAACCAGGCTATGCAACAAAAAAGGCAAGCGCAGCATGTCCGTCGTCCAAGCAACACGCGTAGCAACTGGCCTCTTCCTGATGATCCTCATAAAACCTGGCCCTTTCCTGAGTATTTCACAGAAGGGTAAGAGACTGAACAGGCTGTGTGTTTTTATTGTATATGACTCGGCTTTACACTCAGGCTTGGCAGAACGTGGGAATACTGGCTGGTTTTTTCCAATTGCTGCTGCATCTGTGAATGCTGCACTTCCTAATGTCGAGAGTGAGAAATCTGAGCCCTTCCTGCTTTGCCGATACCGAAGGACTGACATGTGTTTGATGTCTTCTTTAGAGCGGAACATATACTGATTTTTGACTTGAACAGAGGAAATAAGGAATTTATAGCACAGATTAATTCAGAACAGTTTTCTTTCAGTATTTTGAAAAACTTTAAGATGTAGTTTTGATGAGAAGTGATGCTATCGAAGTTGCAGTGCCTGACTGAATTCAGCTTTCCAGATTTTAGCCACTTAATCTTGCTACTGTAAGGCAAGTACCTTACAGCAAGTACACTAGTAGTTCTTAATCTCTTCCAAATCACACTATTTATTACAATAGAAATGTTTCAAGACCCTCTGTCCATTTGTCCATAATGCAATAGCTGCGACTCTCAAGCTAGCTTAAAACCAGTAGGACAAGTATGTGTTCTAGCTCAGTTTTGCGATGAAAAAGGCAAGTGCTCAGTGATTCCAAAACCAAGCATCACTTGTTTCTCCTTCCTGACCAAGAGAGGCACTTTTAATTTATATAATGATTGTAGTAAAATATATGTACAGTGACAGGCAAAGCAGTTGATGTGATCACTCAGAAGTAAGTACAAGTATTTGTATTACTGATATATTTTTACGAAGTATTGAAACTTCATTGTGCTCTGAGGTGTCACCCGTGACACACTCAGCATAACTAACTAAGGCAGGCAGTCCGGACCGGGCACTGTAAGTACAAGGATTAATACAACTTTTTGTCCTGCAGTGATGTGACAAGTAGCTGGTCTGGTACTCAAGGAGACTCTGCCAGCTCCAGTGATGAGACCTCCTCAGCTAATGGAGACAGTCTGTTCTCCATGTTCTCAGGGCCAGACCTCGTTGCTGCTGTAAAGCAGAGAAGGTGAGCAAAATGAACAGAAATACCTACTGCTTCACAAGATGCTTTTTTTTTTTTGATAATTTCCTTTAAGTAGCCACGCAAAGGAAATTCCTGCTAATGAGACAGCAGTTTGTGTACTGCACTGATGATGCAGATCAGTGTCTATCTGACTTCAGTGCTAGGGATTCCCAAATGGAGTTACATTAGTAGCTGTCTCCTTACACAAACTAGTGTCTCTGCAAGTAGCCAGTTGGTAGTTGAAACTTGGTATGTCTAGAAAAGATGTGATGCTTTCCCTCTTCCAAGGTAATCTATTTTGCAGGGAAGGAAAACCCAGTAAGTGTATAATGGGTGAATTAATCTGCCAAACCCCCAGGTATCTAGAGATTGATCATGGAGCAAGAAGAACAAAGGCCTGTGCTTTATGTAGTGCTCTGAAGAGAAAAGCAGAAGGAAGTTTCCAATGAGTGTGCTTCATTAAATAAAACTGAAGTTGAAGTAACAGTACCACTGTCTTATGTTACTTTAGGAAGAAAAAGCGAGGACCTGACAAAATACCATAGCTAAAACTATACAGTACAAGGTGGCAAAAGGGTTGAGTGTTCTAAAGCTGACCTGAAAAGGACTGCTTACCTATGGAGGCCTGATGACTGAAGCATGGTGGTTTTTTTTTGTGTTTGTGTTGGGTTTTTGTTGTTGTTGTTTTTAAAAAAGAAGGGTGAAAGGATAAAAGATTCTGCTTTAATCTAAACCCACCCTTTTAGAATGCACATGTGGTCAAGGACTTCTATTTGATATTAGGTATTGGATCACAAATTTAAACCAAAGTTATAACGTTTTTCCTCAGTAAAATCACTGTGCTTCAGCAGATGTTTCACTTGCTCAGCCATTTCTTTTGTGTTGTCTGTAAAGTTATTTCAAAAAAGATACTTTAGAAAAACCAACCAAACTATGAACGAGAGCAGACAACAGAAGAAAAAAGGCAATTTCTGGCAGATTTCTTCAAAGTGGGCAGAAGACTAGCCCATCTTCTGTTCACCTCTACAAAAATGTGTGCGAGTTGCTGAAGCTGTAGGTCAAAGAACTACAGCACTGTCAAGCCTTGACAGTATTCAGCAATGAATTCCTTTCTGCGTTGCTGCTCTTGCCTGTACTGAGCAAAAATACATGAAACAAGATGACACGTCAGTACACATTCTAGGCTGTCAGGTATGACAAGACCAAAACCACAGAATGGTTTATGCCAGTGTCAGATTAGTGTAGATGACTCAAAAAAAAAAAAAAAAAAAAAAAAAAAAAAAAGTAAAAGTAACTTTTTTTTTTTGGACAGAAAACACAGTAGTGGTGAACAGGAACCTAGTACGCTACCGTCACCACCTCTTCTTTCTGCAGCAGATGACCGTAATCAGGTAAGCTGGAAATGGCTTTGCTTCATCATTTTTCATTTGCATTTTAGGGTGTCTTACACTAGGAAAACAACTAGAATAGCACCCATATCTCCAGATTGCTTACTTCAGCTAAAACCCAAACCATTTTCACTCAAGTAGTACTAGATGCTTTTATCAAAGTTACCAAGTTTAAAGTTTAAAACTGGAAATCACTTACCTTTTTCCCTTGTAGCAGAAATTATCACAAAAGCAAAGATTTCAAGTGAAGTGAAGAGGAACACAGTCAATTTTAATTGTCTGTGCAGAGAAAACCAAAGTATCACCAGATTTATTACCTGTCTTGGTAGAAATTTTGACTTAGGGTAGGACTACTGTTAAAGAAGTGCATTTAAGCTAAATAACTACTCTCTCTTAACAGCTACTATGTGTCAAGCAAATGTGCTGAAGTAAATAAAAAGGTTTTTCAATAGGTAGATACTGTCAGAATTGAGTGCTATATATATGCATCAGTTCTGCTTTCAAACATAAATTAATCTGAAAATGTCTTGAGGAGGCGATAAGGTGGTGTTTTAAGAATTGTCTCAAAAAGTAAGTGGTTTGGTTTAAAAAAAAAAAAAAACACCCAAACAAAATCCCAACCCCAAAGCAAAGTCAACTGCTTTTTTTTTTTCCCTCAGGACAATAAAACCAAAACCTGGCCTCCAAAGGCACCCTGGCAGCACACGTCCTCCGTCACGAACACGCTACCCAGCCAGGGTACGTCTCTGTACCCCATGAGCAGCCCTGTCAGCCAGTGGAGCGACACGATGCAGATCCTCCAGTCGCCCATGTGGGCAGCAGCCAGCGACTGCGCTCCGGCAAAAAATTCCTCGAACTTCGCCTATGCGCAGCAGCAGCAGCAATCACAGCAGGCTTCCCAGCACAAACAGATGAATAAGGGCTTTAAATCTTTTCCCGTAAAGCACGAACGCAGACCGTCTTACCTGCACCAGTACTAACTGCTTTCACATCGGAGCGTGCAGCACAGGGCCAAACCAAAACTCCATGTACTTTGTTTCACCATTGTGTATTGGCCGTGTCCTGTTTATCTCCTTGAATACGGAATTGAGGGGGCTTGGGTGAGATATGCAAACTCTTGAATCCTGCTTTACAGTGCTGAGCAAATATGGCCAATATGTTTGTTTGATGTACATGAAACAGCCCAAAACTGTGATGTAGAAATGCTTTTAAAAATGTGTATATTGCCTTTACTTTCCAAACCTTTTTTTTAAAAGAACTGCTGAAGGACTACCAGACAAGAAACACTGTATTTTATAGCTATTTTTCATATAGATTTATAGTTAAACATCTTACTGAAACACATTGAATATGTTGAAGCAAATACATAGTGGTCACTTTGCTCAACACTGTTTGTGTTTAAATTTACAATGGACGAGCTGTAAAGCCTTTGTATTCTCCATACATGGCCTGTGGGCAGCTTTTTTAAAATGAAGTGCAAGAGCAGCTTTTCCTGTGCCACCCAAGCGAGCTCATTACGAAACTGTTGCAGAAACAGTTGCAAAATTGTGTTTTGTGGTAGTTTCCTTACTCTAAGTAAAGATCAGCAGAACCACTCAGCCTTGTGTCACAAATGTTATCTGTGCTGCTTAAAGTAGACGGCAACTGTGTGGATAATACGACACTGGGTTTCAAATAAACACAACGTTTTTTACTGCTTCATTTGGCCAAAGGCATTATCCACACAGTGCTCCTTAAGTGTGTGAAAATATAGCCTAAAAGACTACTTGCATATATTTAAAGTCTTATTTCAGATGCTACAGGTGATTAAAAATTGTGAGCTGGCTCAGAAAATACTAAACTGAAACGTGGGGTAGCAGTTAGTTAAAAAACATTATTTTTTTTAAAAGGATAAAGTAATTATTTGCAGTCAATACGTGCCATTAAGTGAACCTGTGGAATTAGGAATAATCTTCCAACCAAAGTGGATCCGGGAGAGTGACTGGTGCTTAAAAATTGAAGAACAATGGTAAATATATGTATAGCTATCCCACTGTATATTAACTGAGATTACAGAAGATTCTTTATATAGTTAGAGCTTATTTAAATTTTCATATTTCATCTTTGAAAGAGTCTAAAAACCACAATATTTTCTGGTATAAGAGTTTTGACAGTATTAATCTTATTTTTGTATTTTTCTTAAGTCATATCATTCTAATATGTTAACTACTAGTAAAATGGGTTATTAGTTCTAACGACATAATTTTTCAATGAAGATAAAGCACATTTGTTGTTTTTGTTTTTACAAACTAAGTACATCTATATCTAAAGATACCAAAAAATAAATACATTATATATATATATATGAAGTATACGCAACACTAAAACTATTAAACATTTGGGTATTTAAAACCCATCCACCTTTTTTGTTTGTATGGTGACGGGCTGTATTTGCAGGCCCAGATTGTTACCTTTTGTGCTGTTTGAGGATGCCAATGTTGCCTGTATTTATGATATTGTCACCATGTTTTCTGAAACTTCATACTTACCATGTTTACAAAGATTTGTTTGCTGTACATAAGACTTTTTACAGTACTGTGCTTTGCACAATCAGTGTGGCTTCTGTCTGTAAATTGTTAATGGTCTGTACTACTATAATTTTGAAAACCCTCTGCTGAAAATGTTAGTGGTTATTTAACTTGATGAATGGTTTTGAGTTTCCTAAATCTTGTCACTTAGATCTAATATTAAATGCTAAATTTGGTTGTACTTACTGGTTATTCGTACTAAGACCAAATGGAAGTTAATGAAAACACTTAATTTTGAACTTTTTCTAACAAGTGCCAAAATTATTGCTATAGTTTTTGCAGTTAATTCATAATTACAAATGCTGGCAAGTTTCTGGACCTACATAAGCGAGTTACAAAAACAAAGTTTGTCTGCATATCGACCACGTAGGTGCTACTCTGTCCTCTGCTTCCGATTGTTCTGAACACTGGTCATTTTAAGAATTGTTGCACTTGGCAAATGAGTCTTGCCATTAAACTTCACTTACACTGCCAAGTGCAAGGGTTTGGTGCTTAGTTAACTTACCCTTATTGCAGTGCTTCTTGTGAATAGCTCATGCTCCTGAACTGGAACTGTACATTTTGTATTTTAAAGCTTCTGTAAAAGTAAACTATTTGCTTTATTAAAGATACACATTTAATAGGTCATACCTGTTTAAAATATGCACCTTGCTGAAACTGAGCAGCACCTTAAACTGTAACTTTGGTTTGTAAACAAAGGTCTTATTTCATTAACATGGGATTATTTAACAGTTTGAAAATTGTCAACTGCCTACTTACTGACTCCTCGTATCAAACCCAACTTTACGCACTGCACCCTCTGAAGCATCTTTAAGACTACTCCTTCCAGGAGGGCACGATACCGAACTGCCTCAGCGCTGCCTTTGAAGGGGCAGGGCAGGTGAACCTTGCCAAAACCAAGTTACTTAAATTTGTAGCAATCGTGGAGTAATTTCGATGGGAGTGAGCAAAAAGTAAACAGAGCTATGATCAGCGCAGTTAGTTCAGCTCCTGTTAATTGTGCCCCTGCGCCCCGTGTGCAAGTGAGCTCTGCTGCTTCTGGACAAGAGCACCCAAGCGTGCAGCTGACCTTCAATGCTGACAAATACCCAGGAACCACATGAATCCATTTTGATTATGCAAGAATTTACTTGTTTACAGCCTGCAGTACAGAGCATTTAAAGCCAAAAGGAAAAGTCTTGACACAACTAGGGCAAGCACACAGCCTTCCCTCACTGAAACAAAGGCTTGATTTCTCCCATGTACTTAATGGCTCCAAGTCACACAGTAGTCCCGTCTTTCCTACAACAGTTAACATTTCTATTTCGCTGACTCACTGAGCTGCTCCTTTGTTACATGTTACATTAATCCAGAATATAATTTACAAAGAACATCTTTAGTTTGTTAAGCACAATTCCTGTGATCCGAGAGACAAAACAGTCTCTGCTTGTATATATATGGCAATGTATGTCTGACTTTGTCATGTCAGCAGTAAAGAGAAGAGACCTAGCTCAGTGCTTGCCCTCTTAACATACATATTACCTCAGTCATGAAACAGTCTCCACTTCAACGAGACTGCAAGTGGCCTCCAAAGGCATCTCTGGTAGCGCGGGCCTGACAACCAGGCTCTTTTCAGAGCTACATGGAGTTTTTCAGAAGGGAAAATGGGAGCATGATAATTATCACTCTTAAGTTCTGCTTATGGTAACGGGGAAAAAGCCTCGTATTACCTCAAAAACTACATTCACCTTTTTAAACTTAAAAGTGTGGATGACTTTTTACCTGCCTTTCAAGACTGCACCTTCTCAGCTCCCAAAGTGGGACTCTAAACTAAGTATTTCTATCGATTCTTAAAGCCTCACTGCTTGTGTCCAGGGGTGCACAGTCAGTCCGCGGTCTTCTGCGTGCTGGGTGGTGTCGCATCAGCAATTGTAGCTAAATAAATGAGGTTTCTATGCAGGATATGCTGGTACCTGTAAGAGGAAGAAACAACATCTGGGAAATTTGTTCTTTTCTAGCAAACTACCCACGCTTTAGTAGTCGCTTTTTTGTAATCCAATCAACATTCACTGTTAGGGAAAGAAACACTGCTCCTCAGTTAGCCCTAAGTGATCTAATCAGGACAAACACCTTTCCATATCTGTTCTTGCCCTAAAGCCCCGTACGCTACGCTGAACTGCACTCTAACCGGGCGTGTGCTAGTGACCAGCTCGGACAGTAACCGTGCACGTTAGGCTCGATCGGTGTGTGCTCAACACCGGAAAGCGGCAGCGCTGCAAGGCGGCAGCCGGGGCAGGGGACGGGAGAGCAC